AATGTTTTTTTTTTCAAAATAATACACTTTATACGTAAAAATATATAAATTAAATCCATTTTAGATATTTAATTTTAAAGATTTCTTCCAACGGATTTGATTAAAACATAAATTTTCTTCTCTTTATTCTCGATATTCGTGCTATTAATAATTAATGTAGATCTGTAGGAATTTTATTATATCATTAAATTCTTCTTAAATTGTTTTAGTATTTATTTAAAAAGTTAGAATATTTTTAAAAATTTAAATCTATTTAAAAATATTTGATTAAAAGATTGTTAAAATTCTTTATAAATATATATTTAAAATCTTCTTGAAAGAGTTAAAATAAGAAATTGTAAAAATACGTAATAAAATAATGAGAAAGTTAAACAAGAAAAGAGGAAAACAGGCCAATTCAATTTATGAATTTTCAAGATATAAACCATAGATAACCTTATTATTTATAGCTGAAATCAAAAGAGAACATTCAATCCAATTACATGGGGTTTCTACTGGAGTACTTGCCTATTTGAATAGTAAATCATCTTAAAAAATAAATAAATATTTTTTAAAATAATCTGTCAGATAAACAACTTTGCATTTTGAATTAAATAAATATATTTAAAACGATAAAATAATAAAATTTTTTCTTGTGTATTTTTTTTTTAATTATGAATTAATCAGACTTATTGCCGGAAAGAATTTTTCGCATTAAATTCGGAGTTATAATGTAGCGTGGCAAACATTTATTTTAATTGTTTGTTTAAGAATTAGCCTAAATACTAAAACATAATTAAATTTTCTTCCCTTTTTTTTTGGTTAGGAATTCGAAATTTCTTTTAAAAACTTTATAAAATGATTTTTTGAACGAAATTATCTTCTGTGTATCTACAGCATCCCTGATTTATCGCATCCTTAAACTTATCCGAAGATGCTGAATATATATAATATATATATTTTATATACTGGTATCAAATGTATAGATTTAAAAATACGTCTGTAGCTAATTTCTTTCTTCTAAATTGTATTTTTCTCTCTCTCTCTCTCTCTCTTTTTCTCTCTCGGAAACATCTATCCGATGTTATTAAGTTGCTTTTAGAAACCCCTATCTGGTTGGATTTATGAAAGCACACGGGATATAATGGTAGGAAATATAGCAAAACTTACTAAAAGGGGGATTTTCTAACGTGTAGTATTAGCCAGTCAACTTTCTTGGTCTTTACGGCATTATTGAACTACATCCGTCTAGACGAGAGATCCAAGAAATGTAATAAGTAATAAGAAATGGCAGAACATTGCATAAAGATCGTAATAAAAATGGAAGAATAAGATAAGAAGATGACATCACTCCAACATTTTTACAGTAACTCGGAAATATGTTTTTTTTAGATGTGACGAGTGGGATGAAAATAATTCGGATTGCAACCGATCTTCGGGAGGATGCCGAAAAGTTATGGAGAGAGGAAGTCCGACGTGGTATTATTTACGGAGGAAGGCAGTCTGATCTTTATTATTTTAATTAGGAAAGCGAAGAAGTAACGTAGAATCGTATTAAATTTATTTATATCGACGTGTAAGCGCGAATCATTTTATTCTGTGGATAAATTAAAGGTAGAGAGGAAGATAAATGGGATTTTTAGTAGAGTAAACTGTGTTTTATTCCTTTGGATCATTACTGTTAAATGTAACAAATGAAATTACTTTTTATTCTGGACGATTCTAATTCCTTTATTGAGGATTTTCTCGGTTGAGGTGTTTTAACGATGGCCGGAATATTTGTTTTAGGTAATTGTGAAGATTTTCGGACGTTTAGACATTTGTGTTTTGTAAATTTCTGCGGTGATAATGCTACGGTTCGATAGACCAAGGTAAATTATAAGAAGAGCGAGAAGAGCGCGCGAGAAAGAAAAATGGCCAGAGAATCGAAAAATGTTATTAAAAAAATCGAGTTAAGACATAAATACAAAAAAAAAGAAATTAAAAAAAAGAGAGATAGGACAAAAGAAAACCTTAAGAAATCGGAAAAAAAGAGAAATCTGGAAGAAGAAAAATCATGAAAAGAGAAGAGACTGAAGAAGAAAGATAAATATACAAAGAAAAGAAGGAATGGGATGAAGTGAAGAAAGAATAAGATGAGGAGAGAATACTTGTGGATGGAAAGTTAGAGAAAGAGGAATATTAGCTGGCAAGAAAATGAAGAGATTTATTAAAACTCAGACACGATGACAAGTTGAAAAATCAAATAGAAAAGACGTAATGAAAGTCGGCATTAATACTAGCGAGGAATTAAAATATCCCACAGGTATATGAAAATTTGGCAACAATGCCATACTTGATTATCTTTTCCGGTCTCCGTGTACTTAAGAGACTTAAGAATTATTGTCTCAGCAGACGAATATCTCATTTTAAGTTTTAATTTGTCAAGCGGGACAACCGGTGGATCCGACGCCTACAAGATAATAATTGTAATAGCAATTCTTGATGCTGTCGGCGGTAATGTTCTTTAACAAACAGAATTTCACTCTCTTTGTGTTTAGAAAAAAGAAAATAAATAAAGGAAAAATACACAAACTTTAATCGAGAAGTTTTCCAGTGTCGAATGTTTATTTTATTTTTAGAAATTAATTCAAAAAAATTTATAAGAATTTTCGCATATTGCTTTTAGATGTTTGTTTATTTTACTTTATTTTGTTTTTTTAATTTCCATACTTTGAAGAGCTAAAAAAAGAAAGAGATAGAATAACAGAGAATTCATCACCGACGACAGAAGCTCGTCTCCTTCCAGTTATAAGTCTGTACTTTCTCCCTCTTAAACCCAATTTTTTGAGTTTTCTTCCTAAAGCCGATAATTTCTTTGATTAATTCATTTTAATGAATATTTCGCTACAAAAATCAAAGTCTGTCGAAGAAAAAAAAAGTTCATTGGAAAGTGCAAAATATATTTTTCTCGATAAGAATTTATAAAAACATATTGACGCCATTATTTTAGAATATTTATTTTATGAATTTTTTAAGAGAAAGGAGATGGGAGGCTCTGGAAGTAATATTTTATTTACATGGGATTGTTTTCGATCTTTGAAGTTTTCGAAGGATTGATTACATTATCTAGTTTCCGGAGAGAGTTTCTCTTATTTTTTTTAAGATAAAAAATGCAAATTGTGTAAGCGTACCTTCAGAAATTAATAGTCGAGTCGTGTCGAAAATTTAAATAAAGAAACACGTGATATGAATTATAATATCTTATTGGCCGGTAGCTAGCTTTGTTGATTTGAAAATCTTTATTTTCCTTTTTTTTTTCTTCGGTAAATATAAAGATGAAATTCGATCGAAAATCAAATAATATTAATTTTTTTTAAATCTCTTACGTGGAGAAAGTTTTCTACAGATAATTTCCATAATCTTCCTCGTCCACCAATGAGAATAAACGTACATTTAATAGTTAAATATCTTAATGTAGCCGAAATATGTGTAACGGCAATCATTTTTATAGTATAGTTTAATCAAAGTCGAACTTAATGGTTGATAAACACGACTGGAGACACGTTATTGGAGAAACGTCAATTTAAGATTTTACACAAGGCGTCACTTTCTACAGCACTTAGATAAGAGGAAAAAACGTCTGGTCAAGATTGCTGAAAACGTCGCCACCAGACAGACATATCAAGAAGAAAATTACCAAAAGTTTTTATAGTCCATCAAATCTTTTGCGATTGTGAAGTAACAGGCGTACCAATCACAGATGTGAACGTCAGATAAGAATATTAGATATAAAAATTTTTATATCTTTCACTCCGATGACGAGCAAAAATGAAAAAATATCGATGGATGCGGTACTATATAAATATATACTTTATATATTTATACATATATAGAGAAGGCTTATAGTATTTGATGAGAATTAGCCGTAACGAGATGATGATGTACACGATATTATCAATACGTGATGACAATCTTGAGTACTATAATGATAATACTATTTCGTTCTTTGTTGAGATTTTCTTTTCATCGACCTCTTTCCTTCTCCTTGTCACACGAAGAAAAGAGGATTGCTAAGTTTTTTGGTGATGTTATTTGCCGTGCATTACTGTAAGCGTAGAATAATGGATGCTCTTCTTTGGACCAATCGCTTCTACCTTACCATGCTTCGCTTGTCATCTAAAATTCACAATCTCTCTGTTTTTCTCTTGAGATATTTATAAGTACAATTCGTATGTCATCTATTCTGGTTTTTTACTATTGCCTCTGTCGAAAATTCCAAATTTGCAAACATGATATTGGATCGAAGTCATAATTCGGTTTTTGATTTTTTCTTTTTTTTTTCTTGAGAAGAAATAAAATGCCTTTTGTGTTTTGCTACACGAGTTCTACACACTGCCGACGAAATTTTTATGCATGGAGAAGTTTTTATTCAAGTTTTATTAGGCATACTTAAAATTTTAGAAGAGGGTGGGTTTTTGTAAAATTGCGCCATTCCGGTTTGAATTATTTAAGGAAGGACGGAACCAAAATGGATGGCAGCAAAATGTGTAATTTCTGCTGATGTAGAAAGTTGCACATCGGCAAGACGGAAATGGTTCATATCTGAGGAGAACGTAAAGAAGAAAAATTTAGATTTAACCGTAAAGAAGAAAAAAAAATAAAGGAAGAAGAAGAAGAAGAAAAAACATTCTTTTAATAAATAATTAGAGGAGCAATTTCATTCCAATTTGTAAGAAGTAAAAAATTCAGATGGAAATATAAGAAAAAGCATCTTAAGAGCGACATCTTAAATATTCAAACATCTTTTTCCGCCCAAACAATTTGGCTTTAGTTATCCGGGTTTTTTAAGCAGCATCTCCATCGATGTGTTGTTGAAAAGAGAATAATGAATTGCGGTTGCATACCAAGGGTCCCTTGGTTGTTGTTTCAACCATCTGGTTTTCTGTGCTGATGGCCAATTGATTAGTTAATTATGCAAAAGGGATTTTCTTCCTTCTACCTTGCTTCTAATGACTTTCTGCTGCTATCAATTTTTCACGGTCTCTATTCGATTAGAACGGCTGATTTCGTTTTACAATTACTTCAGTATTATCGGGAGGCGAAGATTCCCCGCTAACTGCGTTTGAAAATCTTTAAAAGTGTAACCGTCTCTTAAAGAAGTGCCATCGACTCTTCTGGCTCTAAGAGTTCTTACGGCGTTTTTCCCGTTTGTTCGCGAAAAGGCACAAGTAAATGACACAATGGGAGGGGGGAAAAAGAAACTTTTTAATAAAGAAAGGAAACTCGTGACTTCTATACACAAAATAGACGGACTTTGTACAGAACTTATGTTCTCTCTGGTTGTGGCTGCCACATCTCAGCTGACATAACCTATTGCAGGTCAGAGATCACACAAGGCAAGGCAGCTGGTGAAACATATGTTGAAGGCAAACTTTGCATCAAATGATATATCCTAAACGCATTTTACTATGACACGGTTTGCACTCCTTCGTTGCCGAGTATCGAGTATCGACTTTTATCCGGTCAAAGTAACGCGTATAAGATCGAAATAGAATAAGACAATCTTCTAATACTGCCACTTATAAACTTTGTTTTTGGTTATTTAGAGGTTAAAACAGAATAAAACGGTGCTCTACGCTCCCGGTGGCAGCGGGCCTATTTTACAATATAACCGTTCGATCGCTACAATACTGTAAAAAATACTGTAAATCACTGGTACAAAACCTCTTCTTGAAGAAGAGCGAAAGAACAATACTTTATGGCGGAAGTTTTCGACCAACTGAATAAATGACATTACATATCCATTGACCATACAAGAGATTTGCTGAGCAGATTTTCATTTTTTACTTATTTGTCAACGTGCGGTCGTCGGAGTTAGTCTATCTATAGAATTAACAACTCATGCCCCTGTCTTTAATAGACTAACGGCCGTCTTCTGTCAATATTTTACTAAAGACGATTAAGGAAAGAAAGATGTGGAGACTAGAAAAAGCGGACGAGGTTTTAATAATAAGACTGAGAAATTTCAATTAGTCCTATTGAAAAATTAGCGTATGACACGGTCGGAGGAAGCGGGCCACTTACTGGCGCCCGTCCAACCCATTGCGACGGCGAGGAAGTAAAAGTAAAATTAGAATTGGGATCAAATATCGTCTGTCGACCGCACGTTCCCGAATTTGTTCTAAACCTGCTTCCGCGGAAGGGGGCCGATAAGACACCCAATGATTTGAAAAACGAATTTTGTGCACAGAGCAGAAAAATGTTTGTGCATTGACGAAAGAAGTTGCTCGAATCACCTCCACCACAACTAGACGCAGTCTAGGAGATGCGCCACAGCGGTAAATGGAAGTATACACACATCATCAATGAAAACTGTACACGTCTTTGCCATTTACATAAAATGTTCACTTGCCGCAGGAAGAAATAATGATATGATTATGGGTACGTGCCACACGGCTGGCAGTGGATGTGATTTGATCCAGGCAAGTGTCCATACAAATACAGCAAAACTCAGATAAATTACCACGGGCGTCGGCTCAAAACGTTTCCACTAGCCCCGAAACTTCGTCCATTTTTTTTATTTTTTTAGGGTCCCGGAGCAGCCGAGCTCCATTCGGATAGATGAGGAATGAAGGGATGTGCAGGATAAGGATAGGTCACACCTGCGGAATATAGCCCAAGTTCTTTCTCTGTAAGAAGAGATGAATCTCTCTGAATTTAGGTCTTTCCACGTCGTTTCTCTGCCAACACTCTTTCATCAAGTCATAAATTTCCTTCGGACAATTCGGAGGAGACGGGAGGTACACTTGCAATAGGTCGTCTTGGTAGAAATGTTCCACGTTCTGAATGACCATGTCGTCTGTCATGTCCGAATAAGGTTGATGACGAGCGAATGTCAGAATCTCCCAAAGTGTAACTGCGAAAGACCACACGTCACTCTTGGTCGTGAATTTACCCTGAAAGAAACATTAAAAACAGCAAGGTTAAGTTTTTCCACTGGAGAGCCATCCGAACGCTTAAAATATTTGGTGGCACAAGCTTATTAAGTCTTTGGTGTAATTGGGGTAATTAATAACGGGAGAAATACATTAAATGCCGAATTTCTAGCGAAGAGCGAAGTAAGCCGCTGTAGGGAAAACCCAGTTTAATTAGTGACTTTTTATAATTCTAAACGGTATAATAAATGTAAAAGCCATTATCTTGCAAACGGCAGCATCTATTCATATTAAGCATATTGTGTGAAATTAAAATTTAAATTCAAATGAATGCCACTAGTACAAAGCGGGACAGCATCTGTAAACTTATGAAAAATCCCATTCTGGATATTTATTTGTGCATGAACGACATTTTGAATGAGGCAGATTGTTTATATTTGTTTAAGCGGCTATACTCTGAAAGGGCTATTTGAAATTTTAAAATTCAAACTTTTAAATGTAAATAGAGGACATTATCAACAATTCTGGGGAGAATAAACTCGAAATTATCATGCTAATATTAAGAAAATAAGCATTGCATCTGTACTATTCTTTTGAATAAAATTTCGATCATTTCGCTTTGAGGAAATTGATAATTTCATTATAATTGAAATTTTCCATAACATCTTAATAATATAACCGGAAGCCACTTACCAGAAGAATGCTTTCCCAAGCCATCCATCTGATAGGCAACATAGCTCTTCCTTCGATTCTGTAATAGTCTGCACTATAGAGATCTCGACTCATCCCAAAATCAGCAATTTTGATAGTATACGACCTTCCAACTAAACAATTTCGAGTGGCCAAGTCTCTGTGTACAAAGTTTAGCGATTCCAAGTAGTTCATCCCAGAAGCTATTTGAGTAGCCATGTAGATCAGAGCTCCATAACTATAAAAGGGATACAATAAAGGAAGATTGGTAAACAGAAAGCAGAGACTAGATTAAAATTTAAGAGAGAAAGAAGATTACCTGAGTGTCTTATTGTGTGGTTTATAGGGTGACGTATCTGGCACGTGTTGTTGAAGGAATTGGTGCAGATCTCCGTTTTCCATATACTCCACTATCATGCATAAGGGCTCTTCCCGCGTGCACACTCCCAATACGTGTACAATGTTAGGATCTCGAAGACGTGAAAGGATCTTGACTTCTTTATAGAAGTCACTTCTGGCTTGGTCGTTTGCCGTTGGTCTTAATGTCTTTACAGCCACCAAAATCTTGTTACCGTTACAAGGCACATCGACAAGTTCCGGAATTCCGTCGGCTTCACAAAGGTGTACCTGAGTGGAAAAAACATAGCAATTAAAACTCTTTTCCAAAGTTTTGCTACTCTCTGGCATAAAAAAACACCAGGAAATTTCATTAAATGCGGATATTTTTTGCCGTATAAAGCAAAGAAAAAATATCTACTGCGTAGTTGGAAATGAAGAGGAAATATGAATTTACGTCGGATGCAGAAAATATAAAGAGAAGCCATAAAATAAACTGGATGTTTGGAAGAAAGTTCTTAGGCCGACGAAAGCAAACAAATCGAGTTTGTGATTTATATAAGGAGTAATAAGTTGCGCTTCATTTCGTTGTCTAGACTCTTCGTCTGTCCGAGTAATGATTTTTGATGAATGAAATTCGACTTTTGAATTTAAACAGTTTGTTGCGTTTTAGATTGTACGGCTCTGGACATCTCCCAACTTTTCCACTTCATATTTCAATCACATTATTCGGTATTCCTTCGACTGTGAATCATGTATATGTAAATTCGGTAATCCAAGATTGTGCAGGCAAGAGCCGACTCGGAAATCTTCTTATTTAAAAGCGTACGTCTCACTTCACTTCTTATCTCGGCCGTATCATTCTTTTGATTCTTCGCTTAATTTTATTGCTTGGGATAAAGCAAAAAAGACGAATTATTCTCCCCGCTTATAAGCATTTTCGACAGTTTTGCAGTTTAATTATCTGATTCGAATTGCCCCGTTCGGCCGACGAATTGGGAAATTTAATTAGCGAGGAGGAGGAAAAGCATTTATATCTTTCCTGTGTGCGTCCGAGCAGATGGTTTGCTCGGTCACAGAATGGAAAATGAAATTATTTTGTTAAAGTGTTTTTCTAAACTGCAGTCGACTTACATTAAAAAGAACATCATTAAGTACGGACTCTTGACAGGTGTTTGGTTGCCGAGGAGCGTCTGGGACTCATTCCCACAGGAGCCAACAGCTGCCATTGAACTAGAAGTGCGCAGTTTGGAATGAAACAAATACTCCGAGGATAGAACGACACATTACTCTTCTCTTTCTTAGCTAAATATAACGACATTTTTTCCTCCCTTCGGGTTACTGACTTCTTTTTTCCGATATTTCATTTAGTCTCTAGTTAATCAACTCGGTCGCATTCCATCTGTTTCTTAATACGTCCGAATTTGTGCACTGGGTATGATTTCTTACCGCATTTGCCCCTCGGTGTAAATAACTTGTCTCTCTAATGCCCACTAGCCTAGTGGCGCACGTGGCACCGACAAAAGTTTTAATGACATTCCCTTTCTTTCCAACTCATTTCCTCCCCTTTATGACGCAAGAGGGACCGAATAATTACTGCAGCCTTTTTATCGCCCGCGAGGATGCGCCCTTTTCTGTTTGGCCACGGCGCGGACAAAAGGAAGACGAATAATGTGTCTGAGTAGGCAGTCCGTTGCCTACCTGTCATACCGGAAGAATTTATTGGCCCGATTCCGAATAACCTGTCAACATATCTCTCGACGGCGTGCAGTCATTACCGCAATCACTTCTTCCTGCGCCAAACTACAGCACCCGAACTTCTGCCGACAATGGACTAATAACTCGTCTCTGCTTTAATTTCGCCCTACGTGACGTAGCATCGTGTACTTACTTCGCCGAATTGTCCTTCGCCCAGCTTCTCCAGAAAGCGCAATTTGTGACGAGGAACTTCTCTCAGTGGTATTTCTTCACGATTGAGCACTTCGACGTTAGGCACGGCGTATAGAGTGTTACCGCTCACACCCTGTATGTTTGGCAGTTTCACCACCACATCTGTGGCTGCATAGTGCCTCTCCGAGGGTTGCTGAGGTGTTTTCGGTAAGGTGTGAGGAAACGATGGCTTCATCGTCGGCGTGGATAGCGAATGCATCGATCCCACCGGTGGGGACTTCAAGTCGGGCACTGCGTACTCCCTGGACGTGGCCGAATCTGTAAACATAACGTCAATGCTTTTTTTACGTTGCTCGAGAACTCAGACACGCAATACTTACATTTACAATAACTAAAAAGTTCTTTATAGAGAAATCACAAGCGTTTACTGAAGCGAAGCACGAAAGATCGGAATTTAAATTTATAAAAAAAACAACACCCACTCGTAAATTTCTTACCATTACTACAGCTACCTGGAAAAGAAGGCTTGAAATCCTGCGGATCTTGATACAATAACTTGTTAGGATCCGGATCGTCCAGAGCTACCTGTCCATACACGCTACCATTAGCTTGCCGAGCGACTGCCGAGCACGGTGTATAACTAATATCCAGACCCTGGAATTAAATAAACCAGATTCCTCGTGGCTAAAAATAATACTTGGTGCAGTGGTTTTCAACAGAAGTACCAAGAAATACAGCGGTGAGTAGCGCCTCGACACTTCTTACGCGTTATGGCACTGCTCACTAAAAGCGCAATAACTACATCGTTAAAGAAGTAGGGAAAATCACAAGAAAAACTTTCCAAATTGGGGGTGCCACTGCTAGAAAAGGGTTGGAAAACACAGAGTTAATGCGAAGAGAACAAACGTCTTACCTTAATGTTGTTGAAAGTGACTCGACTGTCGGGTTTGAGCATAGTATGGGGCGTCGAATGCTTTTTCTTCTTGTTTCGACACATTATGAAGAGTAGAGCACCTAGAAGTACGAAAATCACAGCAGCCAAGACTCCAATCACTAATCCGACACGTTGAGTTGAAAGACCGTCGTCGTTCATGACTGTGCTAACTGTCGGAACAGAATATTCTTAATCACAATTGTATAAAATCTGCCTAAAACTTATACAAATTTAGTTAATTTTGAACAGTTATTGAAGAAAAAAATAGAACACGAAGAAGAAAATACAGATGTAAACAACTTTTAAAATATTAGAAAAAATTTATTTAATGTAAAGCTGAATTCTTTTTTTAAATTGTCTTCTTAAATTTATTAAATTGTCTTTTAAATTTATAAAATTCAAAGAAACAAATGTAATATTGTAATATGAGTTGAAGATGCAGCATAGAGTTTTGTAAGAAAATATTTCAAAAAAAATAAAAAGAATCAGGCTACAGGTACGGACTTAAGCTTATGCATTATAAAAGAATAGTTTGTTTTTTAAACAGTGAAAATGGAAGTTATATTTATATACAGGGAGGAAAAAATAAGAAAATTTGATCTGTATTGTCAGAACCGTCATTAATAAGCTTTGGCTGGCAAACATTTTTCCATCCTAATTAGATTTGGCTATTGCAACGAATACGTAGGGTCGAAAAAGGAAAAAATAGTGATATTTTTAAGAAAAAAAACATGTTGGAACAGGAATATCTCTAGGGAATAGGAAATACAATTTTTGTTATTGTAGCAACATCTACTGGATTTCAGCGTCGGAAGCAACAATAGCGAATAGACTTAGTTGTTTCGCAATGACAAATCGCACAACACAAAACAAGATTAAATATTTTTCTTTACAGCATTCCGTTCTTTACTAACGCTATTTTCCAAAGAGGAGAAACCTTCATAGTTTCTGCTAGCAATAAAAAGAATATGAAAGAGGAAAGAAATCCGTTCTAGAAGGTTTCCGAAAAGTACTTCTGGTTTTACTTGAAGGGAATATCGGTGTTTTTCCATCTTTCTCAAGTACTTTCGCTACCAGAAATTTCACTTTACTTCAATGATCCCTTCTCTTTCTGTTGTTGTTGCTGAATAAGTATTCCTTACCTATCGGTGGAGCTGCTGGGGGTTCCTCTTCCGTGAAGTTTCCTTGGGCGATAACTGTGGAAAAAAGTGAAATATTAGAGCTTTCTATAAAAGTCAAGTTAGTGTTTATATCGGAAAAAATATATATAACTCTTTCATCGAACTTCGGAGGAAAAAAAAGATCGATTTAAAAACAACTTAAATACACATTTTCTAACGTTTAGTTTAATATTAATAATAAACCCCCTGTAAAATTTAATTATCATATAGTAAAATTGTATAGACGGCGAGATTGTGTACAGAGTCGAAGGATCGATAAGTTTATGAGACTCGACGGTCATTTCATGCGATATTAATACCATACATCAACATCGTAAGCAGTAAGCAGTAAATTTACACGTTATCCTCTAATGTTCAATTATATAGTGAACACAGAAATCGGACTCACCAGAACTGAAAGACACTTCGCTAATCAGTAACCAGTGGGAGGCAAAACTCAGTTCGACTTTTACGTATTTGCCTATTCTCTGGTGCAGGTAGATGGTAACATTTCGAGCTTTTTCGAAGTAAATATCCGGAACGTAAGAAAAATGTATTGGTTCTTTGGTGTAGTACTTGCCTCCGATACTGAACCATATCTTGGCGGTACTGAAAACTTGCACGTCTTTAGTATGCATGTTGCTGCAGTGAAAGTAAGCCGCTGTGAAATTGCGTACTGCATTGAAGGTGAAAACAATTTCTATGGGTCTGGAATAAGTCGAATCGTTCTTCCATCCCACCCACTCGTAACCTGTAAAATTTCATCAAGTTTTAGTACATTAACAATATAATTAATTAATTTAATAAATCTCGCTGTCCAGGGCGTATAGAAGGAAAAATTCATTTATTTTCGGTTTGAGAAATAAAATCCGATAAAGCAGTCGCGAACAGTTAGTTTCTACATTCCACAGAGACAGAAAACTTCGATAAAGTGAAATTTAGTCTCAATAGGGGCACTTGCAAAACTAGTGCAGTCTAAAAGTCTTCGACCATCTATCACAGTTGCGCTCTATAGTGGAAGGTTTCTTCTAAGTTGGTATTGTTTCTCTCTATACGGCTGCAATTCAATGCCCCGTTTCCATAGCTACAACGTGGTATTCTGGCAGAGATACTTTTTTTCGTTTCGGGGTGCAGCAAAACGACAATCAGAGAGCCTAATGCTAGATGTTGCACAGAAGAGGGGGATGGTGTCATTACATGGCGAGTGGCGTTGGAAATGATGGCGGAGAGACCGAAAGTTAAGAAAGTATACACAGCCTGCGAGTGGCAAATGTTCGTCGAATTCTCTATATTATACGATAGTTTGACAAAATGTGCCACTCGGGTGCAGGCTGCCGCTTTTTGGTAGAGATGTGTAACTCTTTGATTGATGATGGTCTTTGCATGCATCGGTAAGGTGGCACGTGGAAAAAATACTGTTTCGATTTGCAGTAGGTCTATTTGTATTTCAATCGACTTGTCTGGAAATTGTTTGCCTCCTTTTACTTCTACCTACTGAAAGTTATTACTTTTCTAATTTAAAAATCTAAACACGCAATTGCAATTACTTCAGAAAATCTAACTTAATATGAAATGGGAGGGAATATTCTTAATGTTAGAAAATATTGTATAGCCTAAGTTTTGGTTTCACTTACCTTTACCGAGTCCAGATATATTTAGTCTAAAGTTATCTTCTCCCTTCTGACCATCTGTCAGTTGTCCTAGGCCTCCATGGAGATGACTGTCATCTTTCACACCATCGTACGTCATGTCTGACAGGTCGAGTTCTACCCCTCTTCGTTCCCCCTGCGGCATGGCGTAGGACACAATACCGTCTGCAAGAAAATGCATTCTTAGACTATAGACGTCATATAGGAATTGTAGTCTGGTTAAACTATAGAGTGAATATCGGGAGTGACATAAGCGTGGAGTGTCGTGTGTGGAATTCATGAATGTTTGATCGCATTGGAGGCCGAAAAGGGAAAATATTACTTTCTGTTGTCTGCATTCTGTTTGGAAACACAGTATATGTTCTGTAAGTACTGTCTAGCATTGATGTTTTGTACAATAATGGTGATATCGGGAGAGAGAGAGAAGGACGTTTGCCGAGATGAGATGCAGTTACGAGGTCAGTGCACACATATTGCCATACAATGTAATCTCTATTGAAATATACTGCTCGTATTTTATAACAATGTTGTGTTAAATCTTTATAAATCTTTCGTTCTATAAGAAAAAGATTATTCTCCTCCATGTCTAACGTACTAGGAAAATTGCAATCAATCAATTAATTCATTTTGAAATTAGATCATGTTAAAATCAAAAAGAGATTTTACGAATTAAATCAAGATGGCAACTTCTCACGCCATTTAAATAGAAGGCTTTTCTAAATGAAAGAGACTACTTTAAGATGCAGGGGCCATTTATCAAGAGGGACAAGACTGCCGTGACCAACAGCTACTGCACACGTGATCGGAATGGCTCTAAATTGGACATGTTCCTGATTACAATTCGGTAAGTGGCTTCTTCGGCCAGTAAATGACTTTGATTTCGCTTAGAAGAAAGTTGAGGTAATGTGAGAAAGAAGAGAATATTGGCAATAAAACAGGTGTGAGAAAACCATCATTAGCGAACTTCTACTGTGCAGCATCGTTTTTCTTATCTGCGAATATTAAAGGATTGTTGGCACGGGCAAAATCGATAGTTTCACTTAATGAAAATTTACAGAGATTAATGTTAAAACTGGGATAAATAAAAACGTTAGAAAGTAATATTTCATAGCAACTGTTAATTTTATTTCTCTGAATCGTGTTAACTTAGATTCTGCCATGTCAAGAGCATTAGGAAAAAAAGGCTATATCACAGGATGTCTGCGGAGTTTCAAGGAAAAAAAACCTTAGTTCTTTCTATTCTTGCAAAAAAAAATTCCTTCTTGAACTACAGCATTCCACGAATTCTATTCTGTCTCTATTGTCGATAAACGTCAAGAAAAATGAAGTGAGGCAAGTTGGAGGTTTTCTTGCATCCGAAATAGAAGCTTGAAGTAGAAACCTCCAGACCTGGTACAATAGAAAATGGGAGGGAATACCGGAGTTGCAAGACCGTAGCGTCTATTGTGAATGAAAGAGCCGCGAGCCATCGATCGATGAAGGAGGAGATGTGTTTTCGGGGCGAGGACCGCAGGTGTGTCTTAGGCGAGCCCGTCTTTTAGAGATGGGAGACATGTTTTGCCACCAGTGTCAACAGTACGAACCCCAAGTGACCACAATACTTCCAGAAGCACGTGAACAACTTCTGCATCTCGCTATCAGGCATTAATGAGGCTGCGAAAACTCAGCTATCAACAATGGACCATTCACAGTGTACAATCCCATCCAACACCTGGAACCGTCCAGCGGGTCTCACCATTTAATGGAATTCTTCTCCGGCCAAAGTGGTTTCTCTGCACTCCTAGCTTGTCAGACAGAGAAGCACAACAATCAGCAACTATTCTATTCCCGCGTGGGTCATGACGAAAACGGTAATGTCTGGAAAACGAACGTTTTACCGAGAAATGTCTTTTAGTGAATAACTATAGGATACTACTATGGTCTCAATTCTCCAACAATGGCTCTAAACGCTCTCTTTCTTCCCAACTGCCGAGTGATTTGTGAACAGATTCCCAACTTCAGTAGAAAAACATCTTTTCGTCTTACGAGCCAAACCCAACTTTTCGGAAATAATACAAATGCGAATTTGATCGAGAGAACATCTCTTCTGTTATTTAATTTCATGCATTGTAATATACTCCGTAATGACTTACAGCCACTAATGCTATCCATTAATGTAGAGATTACTGCGAGGGAAAAGATTAGTTCGATCTCCTCGGAGAAATGAGCAGCAGCTGAGAAAATACAAGGCAAAAAATCCTCAACATCACTAGGCAGACAGCTGAATAATTAATTGCTGGTTAAAGTTTATGGTTTCTGTCCACCTTACACAGATGGCCCAAAATACATCAATTAGATGGGAGGGGAGAGGCGAGATATTCAACAGAAAAAAATCCCTGTAGGTATTTGGGTAAGTGTCGGAAGAGAAATCTAAAAAGATGACCCTATTTAATAGCTCAGTTAGCTAATTATGCAAACGAAGAACCTTTTGCCATATCATAGCCATTTATCTCTCCACGAATATGAAATCCACTATCTGCTCGTATAGCTTGTTCTTACTGTGTTTCTGCCTTTAATTTCCCAGTAGTCATTAGCCAGAGACATTTCCTCCACGTCCAACGATACAAACGAATTTAACTTTAAAATAAGACATACTTTATTGTTTGAAAAAAATTTACCTGTCCACGGGCATCCGTATAATTCCACTCTCATGCAGACAGTCCTGACGTGAAGACTGTAGGGCACGATACGTATTTTGCTGGCAATTATAGGTGGGTCCACTTGTCTAGTTACTGTCATGTAAGTGTTGAGATTTCCCTCGAATACCTAAAAAAATACAATAAATTATTTTTGTAGAACTTTTTTAGGTGAATTTTTGAAATATATTATTCAAATGTTTTGCGCGAATTTGATCAAATGGTTTGACACGGTGTCAACCGGCAGTTTGGAGAAGGGGCGTAGCTTCAGAGGCGGTTGTGGTTGTCTAACTAGTGTCGCCGACAGCGCCGAAGTGAAGCAAAGAACTGGAAGAAATGAAAAGTGCATCGGTAACAGTGTCGCCTTCTCGTATTAAATGTCTGATTTTTATCAAAAAAATAAAATGCAGATTTCCTTTATTTTTGGCCAAGACGGAGTAGGAAAGGAGGAATGGGCTATAATCATTCATGGAACTTTTCTTTCTGCCAAATCCATGGTGGAAATAAAGGTAGAATATATTTTCTGGCGGTGCCAGGCAATCTATCCGGAATATTCACCCGTCATTTCTTTGCTTTTATTCTAAATGAAAAACGTTTGTTGCATTACACGCTAAATTTCCCGCCACGGAAGAAAGGCGATGTACCTGGAGTTCGGCACTTTCCGTCTAACTACATTGTTTGGCCTTAGTGGGGTTCCCATGTAAACGCCAGGTTTGGCAGGGGTCATCAGTCAAAAGAAATGGTCCCCGCGAGATGTTTAGGGTAAGGATGGGAGGAGGGAGAGCGGGAGAAGAAACCAATCAAAGATGATCCCATTTTGAAGATTGTTTTTTCCAGAGAGAGAGGAACATCGTTTTGGAATTTCACTTTGATGGCAACGCATTGAAAAAATATAAAATATATCACCTCTTCAAACTTTGCCGAGCAGTGCAACCAACATTTAATCGATTTTTCGCCGCGGAGCAACCTTTTCAATATTTGAGTCTTTACCTTTTTCCATGCAGATGCAATAAAAGCTGTCCATATCGCAATTTCTAAAACGACGTTCCTATTTAAAATCCACAAACGGACAAGAAAATGCAACCAAACTGCAACGTAATGCCCGATCTTTTTTGTCTCCACTCTTCTTTTTATATCGCAGCCGTCCTCCATTCAATCCGGATATTATAATTTTAAAGTTTTATATTTCTTCTAATAACATTCTCCACCAGTTTAGAAATTCTAATAGTAAGACGATCCGAAATAGATTCTCTTGCTTTTTCTAGGTGTGCGCTTAACCGGATTTACTCCATCGATGCATCCAGTGGAAGAAAAATTATTGATCGCCATCTAATTGGATGTAAATGTGTGCTATAGGTCGCTCTTCAAACAGACATTAGGTGGCTGTTAGAACGAAAGAATAGCGCCCCAGCTGCAAGAAGGAAGAGCCAGGGCGCTACTGTCCGATTTATCCTCTACCCCGTATCTCGGGGGAACAATTATCCGCCATCTTGGCAGACAAATATACGGAGACAGTGCATCCCCTAATAATTGAAAGTAAAGCTGGAGTGAGGGATGACCCTCCAAATTAATCATGCCCGGTCCATACTCTCCTCTCGCTACGTTGATTGTTATTACGTAGCGAGGATTAAAAGATGAGGCAAGGAATACGTGTCATATATTCTAGTTAGAGTTGTAAAGTATGATTTTGGCCCAGTTATAAAAGCTAGCTCCAATTACATTTACATATCCCGGACGTCTCCAGACTGTTGGAGACACCTCGGGGGATTCGGATGTGTCAGTTGGAATCGTCTACTCATCCATCTATAGCCAGGGCGATGTGCTGAGATATAATTCCCACTGAGATTGCCATCATAGGAGGTAGTATTAGGTCAGATATTGGTTCCAAATATGTCTGTCTAGACAAAGACCCACGCGTGTATCATTCGTCAACCTGCCAGCAGAGCCAACCGACTTAATGGTTCTGTTTTAAGTTTCCACGCAAGAATTTTCGGTCTTCTAATCGCTGTTTTTTTTAATTTTTACTTTTTCTAAGTAGACGAATCAATTGAGAAAATGAAGAAAGCGTAGTTTCTAGCCGGCTTAAGTCTACTGTTGAGGGACAGTTCTTCCCGAAGAAGGAATTCTAATGAGTTCACAAAAATTCAAATCAATCCCATTTCACATTCAGAATATTTTCCATATCAGTGAGGGAATTTTTTCCTCTCCACTACTCCAGATATTCTTGCTGGTTCAGCAGACTCGGTTCTAAACGTCGACATATGTAAATAAAGGAAGCAACGGTCAAGTAAGAGAGTCCGTTAGAATATTGACCACTTTCAGAAGTTTTGTTATCTCAGAGGAAAAATGCACAACACACAAAATATTTCGATCCAAACTATTCAGATAAATAGATCAAATTCAATCGGAATGTATCCTTTTTTTTTAATATATTCTTGTCCAGAATTTAAAGAATGTTAATATAAGTTATGAATCCCTCCTTAAACAATTCATAAAAAAGAAAACACAGTATAAGTAGGAAATTTTCTTTGTTTTTTCATATCGGAAGGAAATTTTTATTCTTTTTTTTCCGTTACAACTAACAGGTTTACGATTAGAACATTTGCAATACGAAAAGTCGTTATTTACGTTGCAGAATAATATTAAAGGTGTAATCCGAATTAATTCAAAGGTGTAAGCAACGAGAGATGCCGTGTTTATATTAACCTTTGTAAATTAAAAGTTATACTTAGTAATTTGGCTTTGTTTCTAATTATTTATACAAGGGAATAATTTTCATTTGTGTAAACACCGATTAATTCGAATTAATTAAATAATAATAGGAATAATAAAGTCATTGAGAAAAGTAAACTCGAGAAATAAAGTATGAATTATAATTAATTATAAATTTTAGTAGAAATTTGATTTGAGGAGTGGAAAATGAACGACGGGGTACGGACGAATAAATAGTAGTCGAAAAGAACACCACCCCCGATGACGTCAGAGAAGAAAACATCTCTAGAATAACAAACATACAGTAATTTACACACGGATAGTCTGACAGTGTGAGGCGCAGTTCGCAAATATAGCAACAGTAGACGGAGGAAGAGGTGGAGTGATTAAGATGAGCAAGATAAGAAAGCAGTCAATAGGCTGAAAGTCTGGATCAACTGCTTCTGTCGCCAGATAGCATCTGATAGGACGATCATTAACTGTGCGGTGGACAGAGACTTAATCAGCTAGACATACTAAGGGATTGGATTACGTCTTCCTAGAGTTGTTACGCTCTTCAATGTGTTTCCGGTCTCGTTAATGATCCCTTATGTGAAGTCGAAGCTGTCAAATGTGGCGTCTCCTCTGCTCCAGCATTTCGTAACGAATTCATTTTGATAACCGACAAATTATGAATTCGAATCTGTCTGGAAGACGATTTATTAAATACGACAAAGCCTTCGACCTCAAACTAAACACAGTCATACTATGGAATTTTTTCCTAATAATTTCAGTTTTGATTGCATCCTTTGTGAAGTAAAGCAATCCTTTCCAGCTCTTTAATGTTGAATCTAATCAGTGAGGGTGAGGGCACGTAGATGGCAGAGCAGTGAATTAAATGTTCCCATCTGCAGGCAGACGAGGTACTTATTGCTCAGCGTTATACCCACCGATTCCCATTTTCTCGATGCTGTCCATCGCGTTCCCACAATTACGCTTAATCTCCGGGCTCAAAGGAAAATTCGACCAAAGCTGGACATAAAGGATTGACGTTATATGACTCACGTGTGGCCAGCAATCCGTGAAACAGAAGGTGCACAAAAGTCGTTTTTCTCTTTAATAGAGATGTTAAAAAGCAACGTCCAAAAATGCTCATTACTTTCCTGCACGGCTCAATCGAAGCGGTAAGCAAACATAATTTGTCACTGGGGAAGAACGGGATGAATTTTTCGTTTAAAAATTTTTTTACCATTGTTTTTTTCCTTAAGTAGATTAGGCGTGTTTGTTATCTCGACCTAATTACGCGTCAATGGATGTCAGACCGTATTGAGTTCCATCTGCTTTTTATCTCCGATTCCCCCCTTTTTTAAAACCCGGTTTGAGGTTTTAACTCGGGCAACACGAAGCAATAATAAAATTAAAAAGCGCATTAAGTTTTCTTTCTGAAATTTCTTACTATTATACTATAAAGGATGAGCAAATAAAGATGGCGGAAACATCCAAGAGAAAATATGCAGTGAGAGACGTCGCAGTACTGCTAGGCTAGAAAATAAAGTTAAAAGTTAGTGTTTAGCCTGGACCCGGTCTTTTATTCAACTTGTTTTAAAAGTGGGCAATTTAAGAGTTGATCAATTAAGAGCCGGATGAGAACAGATGGTGCCAGTTAGTGAGCGCAACCGTCAATCATTGTCTATGCTTACAATACGTCAAAGTGGGAGAGCTTTAAATGACACAAGACAACAGTTTCTTGTAGGGGAGCGTATTGATCTAGAACTCAGGTGGTTGGTATCACACATGTTCACCAGCAGACAAATTACACCCTAATACCAATCCAAACACGGCTTCCTTCCCTCTGGTCTTACGCCATGTTTTTACAGTCGCCACTCCGTGTTTTGATATCTGAATGGACGTCGTCTTGTATACATTATCGACTCTGGTATGTAAACATGTCTGTTGTCCTTTCTATTTGAGACGTTTTTCTCCGGTAAGAGGCGAATTTGTAGTCTTCTCGTGCCACGACGGCGCACCCTTAATAATTGATGCATTCCTCGTGTATCCTCCTTATATGCCATAAACAATTTTACAATTGAAAGCTTTCCGGAGGACATTAAATGAATTTCTCAATTCAGACATCCTCCGAGTGAGCGGTAATGGTTTTCTTTTTTAAATCACTGGTGCTTTTTCTTTCATAAATCAGAGATTTAACAAACTCCCACCATATTCATTATTTGGACGGAAATAATAATCTAGCGAGATAAAAAGATATTAAATCCATTTATTCTGGAAATCGTTAAAGTTGTTCTCGGATGTCTTCCATAATCGAAATTGCAACAGAAGCAATTTCTAGTAATATTATTATTATCAATTGCAATCTTTAGTTTGGTGACGTCAGGTCGAAGCTCCAATCAGACGGAGAAGAGGAACAATGGACAGTGTCCCGTTACAGGATGGCAGTGAAATATGGCCATCTATGGAGAGTGTCTTCTTACATACTCCCACGGTCAGAAAAAAGATCTATAAATATATTGTGAAATCTAACACTCTATGTCTCTTCTCCGTTCTATTACTTTGGAATATTTAATGTTGGTGGCAATGGTCTGGTATGGACGACTGTCGGCATTAAGTCAACATAGCAACACGAAACCGTTGCAATCATGTATGGATGGGGCAATCCTTCCATCTGCGAGAGAAAAGATTCTGTTTGTCCTCGTACGGCAAAAGTGTAATAGTCAGTCTGTAGCGAGTAATCCTCTTACGCTTCGCTCCAGCGGATTACAACGTTCCGAGTTCATTAAGTCAAGACACCTCTAAGTTGCACCTGAGGAGCGAAGACGTAATAGCAGTTTCGATCATCGATTAATGCCACAAATACCGTTAAGCAAATTCGTTCTTTAATTTGCTTGATTGATACTCGCAGCGGCTAAGCGATTCTTCTTCACACTCTCTGTAATTTACACCCGAAAAGTAGCCATTGTCGATGCTCTTCCAGCATAAATTTCCATTCAAAAATTTTCATTAAAAATTGAGGTTCTTTCCACGACATAAATTTAACTTTAATTATTTGATGTAATTTAAAAAGACTATCAAACAACTCTGCAACAAAGAAGCTTAATTTGTTTTTTTTTTTTCATTTTCTCAAACTTAATAGGCACATTCTTTGTAAACGCCTGCGCGCATTAAATACATTATAAAAAGACATTCCAAAGGAGAAAAATGAAGAAAAATCTCGTCTTATATCATCAAAGTAATGAAAGATTGCCATAACTAGCTGTTTACGACTGAAACCGTGCGCACCTTTTTGTCCATTTTTCGGGCTTAAAATTTGTAACTAATTGATTTCGTAATTGTCACCTAGTGCGATAATTTATGTTCAGATTGACAATTTGGCTGGAAGCGGGTGGGAAAACACTCAAGGAGATGAGATGCGGGCATTTGGGATTATTCATTTCTATTGTTTCCTCAACCTATTTTAAAATCTTGGTGGTTATCTAGACATGAGGGTGGAGCCACTCGAGCGAGAAATGGAGAAAAGGATGAGGATGTAAAGCTGTCGACCATATGAGCTACACCTCGGGGTATTGTAGCACATTAACGGGTGTGTGTAACAGGAAACAATAAATTGGGAGAAGTGATGCAAGATGCACAACTTTTGAGAATTCTCAGCAATTTTCTTCGGCTGAAAATTAAATAGAATTTAATTAGTCGGCTCGTTTGGGAACGTTTTTCAATCTTTCTTTTTCTTCCTATTCCTTTAATTCTTTGGTGTTTATAAAGAAGATTTTAACTAAAATTTAATTAAAATTTACTTTATTAACTAACTCGAAAAGAAAAACCAAATTTGAATTTTTAATCTCGCATCGATTTTAGATAATTAATCTGCCTGAACCGAATGTGCCGAAGATCATTTCACTCGATAACGAGATATTTGTACGTATTATTGAATAAATTAATTTATAAATTATACTGTTTACAATATTTACATAATGTTTTTTTAAGATTTCAAGTTAAATAGATCTTCGGAAACGATTTCGTATATCCCTTTGGATGGAGAAGAGTAAATCCAGTCACCTTCACGCCGCATTGACCACTATTGGATTTATTGCTCATCCTCCGGATAACTTATCTGAGACAGTTTCAAGATAAAAATTGTAATTCCTAATGCCTTTATCCTATTTATGTAGGACGAATTCAAAGAAAATTATATCCAATTTCTGAAAACTACAAACTTTTACCAAAGAATTGTTTCCTTGAAAAATTTTAATTTCTCACTTGGGTTTTATTATACTCGGGAAGTAAAATTCCAAAAGAGCTGCTATAAAAGCCAGCATTGGGAGTATTTGTAATGACGTCAAGACAGCTGGCACAAAAAGTAGGTGGAACTGTCGAGAAAGTCGACAGTATTAGATTACAACCTCCTGATTAATGACGTACGTACCACGTGACATGTCAAGCAGCAAATAACCCAGATGGTGTGATAAGGTCGCAGCGGAAACAAATAAAACTCTTCCAGGTAGACGAGGAGTCGGTAACCCGATCCCCTTGAACTCTAAACGAACCTCGAATGGAGTCAAAAATTTTCGAAATGTTTGTGGAGGGAAAGCGGAGAATAGTTTAATTATCGGCGCCGGTATCTAATTTAGAAGTAAATTAAGCAAACTATCCTCCCTTTGCAAACACAAGTAATTACCGCGTAGTGTTTTGGCAAGGGCGAGCCGAGGAATTCTTTTTTCTTTTTTTTTGCTCGGTCCCAATAGGCAGAGTAACTTATTATTGTCACCCACTGACCTATAATAACAAACCCATCTGCCAGAGATAGGCTTTCCTGCCCAGGGGTATTGCACCAATTATTACAGTCGTTGAGAGTTTGTTTTGCCGGGTTTTTATAACGAGAGTAGGCAAGCTGTCATTTTGAGAGATACGGTATAGCGGTCATCCGATGGCGGAAATTCTCTTCATTACCCTCGTAATCTCTCTTTACGACTCGTAGCCATTGGCCTCTTACCTCTTGTTCCACTCGATTTCTGAATCGCCGCCATCTTGGTAGGCCCGGTCTCCAATATTCCAGCATGTACTCCTCCGCGTATTCCTGTCCGATACCGTTTCCGAATCGGCCCTGTGTGGCCACTTCGGTCACCACGTGCATCTGATGCAGATTAATTTCTAGATACTCGTACACTTCTTGGGATATCTGTTTCTCCGGACACCAAGAACCACCGTTCAGCTCACGATTCAATCTGAAATAATAGAAAAATTAGTGCTTCTATTAGGTAGTGAAAACAGAAAGAAATGCGTTAGTGGAATAAAAAATAAAGGAAGAGGAAAGGGGAAATGTAATGGAACTGTAGAAGGGGAAATACAATTGTGGAGAGTTTCTCGTCGAAAACTAATACAAAATGTGTTTTTTGTTCTTTCTCCTCGGTTGGCCATCTTATCAGAGCGAGGTTTTGACTGAGATTGAAATGAAATGAATGCTGTCATCCTTTCAAACGTTCGTCGTGTTTTAGAAACGGAAAATATCCGCTCTGATTGAACACAGTTCTGTAATATCAATTTACCGAATTTCTGTCTCTCTTCAAATATCTGATTGGTCGATCAAGATTGAATTTCAACTCAAGTTTTGTTTGTATCACTTACCGAAATGCTTTGTAATACAACACAACCTTCATCTCTCTGTCTTTTCCTGGCCATTATCACTTTTTTATTATCCAATCGGTGGTTAACTTAAGTGCTCCACTTCAATCTCTGATGAAAAATTTTTCCCTCACGTTTTAAACAATTCCAGTTTAACCCGTTCTCTTATACACTTTATATTCCAGTGTTTTTTTATTGTCACAAGCGACACAAAGAAGTATTTGTTAAATATTTTTATCCGAAACGACGAGAAGAACGTATATGTGGGTTTAATGTTCTTAAATGACCCGACGATCCCGTATAATTGGTGTCGGCTTGTTTGTCACCGGTGACGCGTCACCGAAGAGACCACACCGGTCCAGAAAAGTGTAATTTATCATCGGAAGATGGAGCGGACTTGAATTGGCACCAGATGGTACTATTCGCTGGTGTCATCACATTCCCAGTCTGTTTGTGTGTAATCCTCTTCAGTCGCGGGGCCGACAATACAATTGGTTAGCGGCACTCCGGGCAAGATGGCGCTGCACTCTGGCACCTTCATTAAGACGATGTGTTCTCACTCGACTGACCCCTGCGCTCCTCTGACCCTCTCCCAATAACCCTGATTGACAGGAAAATGTTTGTGGCTCCATTCACGTGATGCCCCTACATTCGACCTCGCGGGACTCATCCATCACGTGACTCCATCTATCTCGGCGTTCCAGAGTGTGACGTGGCCCGCCAGGGAGGAAGAAATTGGTTTGTTGCGTCTAGCCTCCTATCGCCCTTCACTCGTTAACAATGTGGACCGCTCAACAAGTACAGAAGCGGTGACACCTCCATGATCAAGTAGTTCTGCATCTAATGACCGGAATTGCCAACTTGCCTCATTCTTCTACTTTCTTCTCCTCCAACTTTTCCCGTTTTCTTTCTCTAATAATCCCATTAACGTTCGCTACACTTACATTTTCCTTTACAGTCTACGAAAAGAAAACGCATTAATTGTGATATTGTTTTTGATCGTTTTAAAATGTCTTCATTTACTTTCCGCAGCCAAATTCTTTCCGCGCCAGTTGGTCCATCCTTTTGATCGTTTGCCAGTTAAATCTTGGCTTAGTTTGCACCTTTTTCCAACCTTGTTAACTTCTAATTAAAGATCAGCAAAATTTCTCATCTTATCACATCGTATCAGCTTATAAATAAGCTTATATCCTGGCAATTTTTCCTCTTTATTTAATTCATTTAGCATAATTGCCGCTAATTACAAAGTTAAAACTATACGCTTATTTGCCACGTCTACTTTATAACTTGAGCTATATTAACTAATTATAATATCATTAATCATTGGGACTATTATAATATGATTGATAGTGGAGAGTTTCAAATGATCGTATTTATTCAAACAGTGTAAGGGCCTCATTATCCACACTAAGCATAATGGCATAATTCGGATTGTACAACGTTTTATTCTCAAATTATGGCACTTAAATTTATAATTAAATATTTTATTTTCTGTAGGCTGTGTAGGCTGTGTTTTCCAGCGTACAAGATGCACTTTTTCGTGAAAAAATGGTGTGCGCATATATAGTATAATACACAGAATGCATTATTTCCTAATTTGATTAATGCACTCTTGAAGAAACCCGGCCAATTTACTTGTGGATTCAATAATGTAGGGGGTTATTTTTAATTGAAAGAAGAAAATGTAAATAAACAGCATAAAAATGATTAAATGCCATCAAATTGAAAAGCGTAAGAAGCAATAATATGGAACAATTATTAATGTATTTTGTGGAAAAATAGCTGACAGCTTTGACAATGTTGCCGAACCCTTTCAGGAATATAGTAGTTGAGACTGAATTTCCATCACAAATAGTTCGATTTAGTGCAACAACCAACCGTTAAATCGGTTTAGACTGTTTTCCATTTAAAATCAGAAAGATTTCGTCTGTTGTTTGTGCAAGTTTTTCTTAAGGCAAATGGGTAGGTGTCTGCCATTGCCCGATTCCTTAATGCCATTCATCCGGATAGCCCGGAGCTTTTCGTATGTATAATTAATTAAAATAAATATACCATTTTTCACAGTAAAATGCCGGACGAGTCGGTAAGAGAAGCGACAAAAATTACAGGGTGAGAAAACGGAAGACATTGGGCGGTACTTGCGGTGGTTATGAGTGAACACTTTATGCGCTCTTATACAGAATGAATATTAAGATTTGCACTGGTCTACCTCTAAGGCTTCTTTTTTAAGAAGGCGACACTTTTGGCATGCTGGGAATCGGGTGACTCGTCTGAAAACTATAATTACTGACGGTGTATCTTGCCATTTGATCTCTACTGCTCTGTCGGATTTATGAAGTTTGCTGCTTAGATCATTTCATCATTGGATCATCGCCACTCCTCTAGAAAAACGAAACTAGAACTTCCCAAGGGAATGCTGCATTCAGAATGTTGGATGCCCTGACACAAACTCGATGAAAAGAGGAGTGTAACTCACCAAATGTTTGCAGATGTGCAATCTGGAATAATCTCTCCTCCCCTTGATAGATTTCTCGGACAGGATAAGATATTTAAAACTTTAAAGTATTCAGTTTAGAGAAAGTTTACTTGAAGTTAAAATAGATTTTTTTTTAAACTTCCTCTTATTTTTTACAGCATTGATCCTTTTTCTGTGTTTGTAAAATCAATATTACAAAGTATTTTCTGGTTAAAAGCATTTGCGTAAATTTAAAAGTAGAAATATACTAGAGCATTAGATCTACAGTAAAATCTCTCGTAAGCATAGGAATTAATTTTTGTAACGCATATCTAAAGCTCTGCTACGAACATTTTTAGACCGATGTGCCCAAATCTCAGGCTCGTGTATTGTATGTCGTAACATAATTGGCGATTGTTAGAGTTGTCTTGTTTTAAACGACTCCAGTTCCAAAGGAAAGTCTATGAGGTGTAGAGGAGGGTGCCTGCTAACAAGGAGCAAGCTCTCGAGAGGGACGGAAGTGAACAGAAGAAGCGGAAGCCATGACCTCCTTGTCGTCTAAGAACCCTTATAAGTCTGGTCAGATAGTTGCAGTCACGTGTGGTTCTTCCACTCAAAGCTCTGCCTTCGGCTCCAAACGTGATGTTGAAGTCAGACAGGACCGCAAGACTGCCACTTGTCGGTATCTGGACAAAAATACCATTTCCATCAGTGGCTTGTTAGTGGTACTTTCCAATGCGGGAGTAACTAACTACTTGAACACGTATATATCTTTCTCGATATTCATCGATCTCTTCACACACGTCAAATCGTATCCTCAAACTAGAAAATTTCTACATTTTATTTTTTTAATCAGAAAAAATATTCACGTTGAAACAGACAAAAATACACGCAGATTCATTTCAAAACTAGAGTGGTCCGAGAAGAGAAAAAAACTGCATTGGCATAAGCCGGTGGCTGGCATGTAGCCACTTAAAACCTCAAAGTTTGCCATAGTTTTACCAAGCGAATAAGTTGGAAAGAAAGGTTTAGTGAGAGATAAAGTAACGAGAAACGATAAAAATTTTTAAACTTTCTAATCTAACTCATAGATGAACTGCAAAGTGAGAGAAAGTTTAGCAGTCTCACGGTTAACGATAGCAAAAGCCAACATTAAAATGTCATTAAGAGTAATTGATGTCTTACCAGATATCAAGCAATTCACTTACCACTGTCCAATTTTTCTAATGACTTTTGGGTCCAAAAATTTTAGAATAATAAACGAAAATATTTTGCTTTGTACAATTTATGGTTTTTCAATATTTTCTCCTTAACAGTTTTTTGAATAGCAATCACTGTTATTTTCTTGGTGTTGGGTACAATTCCTTAGACAATAATTTCGAATGTAAATTGAATGAGTGATATGCTTCGAAGATAATATGGATTGTAGCAAATTGTGCAGTTATTCCGGGACAGTTTTCAGAGAACAATTATTGTAATTACAACTTCCCATCAAGCATCCTAAGTGGACACGCCCTCATTGTAACCTTGCTATTATTATAGACCAAACTTTTCCAGCCTCGAGTGATAGTTCTGTCCTTTGTTTGTACCAAAATATCTTTAATAACTACGAGAAAATAATCCGTGACTGTAAAGTTCTGATTTTGATTCTTTTCTTGCCCCCTTTCAAAAAAAGAAAAAAATTTAGTAGCTACATCACGTTGGAAAGTTCTCTTTCGAATGTATATATTTCGAGATTTATGTACTGGTAGATATAATCGGGAGGAACTTGTTCCCGAAACATTCTTATCTGATGCTTTAAAGGGGGATGGATAATTCCATACCGAGGATATAGTTAATGTAGAGACTTAAACACATAGATGGGATCTTACCTTCCATTTTGAGGCCCTACGCTCGGTAGATTGTAGGAAGAACTAGCTGTCACATCCTCGTCTTTAATCTCTCCCGATTCCATTCCCAGTGGCTTATTGCAGTCAGCTAGAGGAAAAATTAAGAAATATTTCATGTTTTAAAGTTTAATAGATTTATTAGATTAAAATAAATGTAGAAAAAAAATAAAATTAATAACAAACGTCAAGCGAAATAAATAAATAGTAATGCAATTTTTCCACGAAAAAAGTAATTTAAAATAAGAAATTTCTCAATTTTCTGTTATCGTGCATGTACAGTACAATAAATCTGTATGCAAGAAACATACGGCCAGATAAAATATAGAAAGATAATTTGGCGAAAAAGTATGTCGTGCATCTGGGAAATAATGAGAAGGAAGGAATATTTGCAAACTTTAATGTGCATGCAGCGAACAAACTTTAGAAATTCCACAAGTAGCAATGCGCTCTTCGCGTGACGTCATCGCACACGTGACTGTGAACTCGAACACGTGGTCCGTTGCCCATAATTGGCATATTGCATGTCGGGACACGACATTAGGTTGTCGTGCCGAGCTCGAGCTTCTCTTGTTGGGAAATCTTCCATCTGCTCGCATCTTCTAATAATACTCGTCTCCGAATCAATGCCCTCGACCAAGTTTTGGTTGAACTACGAAAGAGAAGCTCGTAAATCAGAGGTTATATAAACTTTGTCCATTGTTAAGAGAAGGGGCAGATGGACGTATCGTAATCTAAACTAAAAATTTACCCGGAATAGCAAAAGGATACACCTGCTTGGATTCACATTAAGGGCAAAGAAAACTGGAAAAATATGAATAGCCGAGTTTGGGCCACATCGACTTGTGGAAAGTTTCTTGCCATCAGAAATCGATAAAATGGAAAAAAAAGCAAAAGCGTGGCCGGTTGCAGTTGGAAACGTAATGGAGAACCAACATGTTACGGTTCAGTTTGCACGATGTACGGCCGGCAAATGAAAGAAATAGGCCTCCGACGGAAAGAAGTGAGGTGGAACTGTGTTCATGCGATAGGAAAATTATGATTTGCCCAAGGTTATTCATCTGTGAGCTTGCAACCGATTGTATCGTTTGGCCGCCATCCCATCTCTCTTTTTTAAAATAAATAACTCGCAAATGGTTGCGGCTGCATATTCACGAGCGATCTTTTAATTGAAAACGTGCCATTCGCTAACTCTGTGACTCCGAAGCCACAGATCTAGATTAATCACTTTGCTGATCAGAAATGGAAGCCTTTCGTGTTTCATTTGCAAACACAGTCATTTCGCCATATTCGAAAAGAAACCTTAAAACTCCTCGTCTCATTATTTGCTCGGGTCGATGCAAACCGAGTAGCAAATGCCAGTGAAGAAATTTGTACCGATTTTTCGTTACGGAAATGATTCTGATTCGTCATATTCCTCTTTCCCCTGGAAAATCGAAATTTTACATTACTTATGAGTCGATACCTGAAAACCCGAGAGAATTCATCAAAATTCTTGGCAAATTTTGCTTTTCCACACTACTTTGCTTTATTAATCATTAGCTAAGTCGATCGTAAATCGTAATTTCGAAACAACCAATTACAAGTTGCAGTCTGTGTGTTGACAGAGGTAGAACAAACAGAAAGACGATAACGCGCGTGGAGTAATAAAGTAACATCCAGAATGTCACGAGATAGAGAAATATGTTCAATAAAATAGGTAAGGTGGTCAAGGGACCTTTCCCTTCTACGTCGGAAGCATTGTGGCAGTGCCCCGTGCAAATAGGTGGTCGTAAGCAATCTAATACCAGAGATTTTATGACACCATTCTCGGTGACAAACGGTCAATTATCGTGAGAACGAATATGGCTATTAATGCCCGTGTAGGATAGTAGTAACTGTAGTTAGGTAGTGTGTATAACTAGCGAAGATTAAGTCTGATCTATGCCCGTATCCTAATGAAGACTTTAAGGCCTCGCTTGGCAGGCACGCAAATGCAGAGCTGTTAAAACTACTTTCCGAGATTTAAGCATATTTTTCTGCCAAACCGTCTTTTCATTATCTGCGAGGGCGTGTTAAATCCTGCAGAATTTAATACTTGACAGTTTTTTCTGCCTTCTAAACAAATTTCAGTTTTCTCTTTAACTTTAAAATGCCTTATAATTGATACGGAACACGTCGGTCGATTAAAATGAGAGCCGCAGTGTACTTTCCTGCTTGATTCGTAAAATTAGCGCTTGTTAATTTTATTTTTTTAAGTTGCAATACGATTTACACAAGCCAGAGTAAACTTCTATTCTTCTAATATGTTGCCGATATCGTTTCTAATCCAATTAAGTAACACATCAGATGTATTTTATACTTAATTCATTACGGCGTTTGCTAGGGATTTAACGTAATTTATTTCTTTGTACTTCTACCGTAGACAATGCGGGACGTAACGGAGGGAGCGACCAGGTGCTATGTAATTCTGCAGACACTGCCCAGGAATTCGTCTTAGTCTCCCACCTTCTTTGCCGGAGAAATAAATCAAACTGTCAAGAACAACGCGAACGAGCAATCGACGTGCTCCGAATAGCAACTTTGTCCAGTTCTAAGCGAGCAAAACGTAACAGGTAATGGCTCCCGTTTCGTTTTCAATTTATATGACAACACGCAGAAACTAAATTTTGATAACTGGATTTATGGATAAACTGGAAATATCTTTTCGAATAAATTGCTTTTTCCTTCCCTAAATAATTATGCGCCAATTTTCAATTGGCAAACTGTAGTTTTTAAAAATTCCCCACGGCAAACTCGAATCTACGTGTTGATTGTTATCGTGTGGCACCCGTAGAGGGTTCGAGACTCGATGCGACAATTCGGCAATGGGTGCATGTTTTTAGGAAATGGCATTTTTACAGATTAAGTTGCAGAACGAAGAGGAGATTAAAGAAGAATAGCCGGAAGGGTTGAATAAAAGCGCCTGGAATAATCGATCAGGTAGAGTCCTTTGTGTCGGAAGCATGCTTCTAATTGATTCCGACATCCAACAAACTAACAGATGTCCCGACAAACTGAATAAGCTGTAGAACACCTGGGATTTAGAAGGCCTGATTATAACACAGTGCCGGGATAGGGTAAACACAGAGAGTAATCCATCACCGACCAGGTCTAACAGAAATGGCAATGGGGATGCCAAAATTGGGGGCGACGTATGAATAATCCCGGTCTCCCTCGGGTGAATGCAACAGGACGGATGCCTGTGATTCATAGCCACGACGAAAACTGGGCTTTGAGAAGGACGATGAAGGAAAAAAATAAAATGTGAGTGTTGGGATTAAGTGGCCCGATACGAGACAGCACCCATGGGATCCTGCCTGTTAGCCCTGCTTTCCCCTAATGACTTATAATGAAGGCAGCGGAGAAGGAGGGAACGAACGAGGAGAAAAAAATGGAGGAAATTTATCAAAATTTAATTATTCCAGTCAAAGCTATCGATCTTCACCATAGGGGTCTTAACCCTCACCTGGCCTTCCCCTTCGCCTCCCGGGGTGTCCGTTTAATAAACTTACCTTCCGCTTTCTTTTCTTTACCTATTTAACGGTTAATCGGCGCCTTGGATTACGTTGTAAGGCCGAGTAACAAGAAAAGGGGGCCTCGTTCACCTCGGGCTAATTGAAGTCGAGACACACTCATGCAACTTGACCCCGGGTTTACACTAAATTAGCCCGGTTTGCTTTCATGACGGACCGGGGCGCTGGGGGTTGTTGCAGCGCCCGAGGTGTAATATCCAAGTGCCAGTCGCTCCCTACAAAGAGCCAATTTGTGTTAGAACTAATATATATTCGCACCATTCCAATTTTGATTCGATGTCGCTCACAGCGGATTGTTTCTTTGGTTTTCAATCAAGTTTGCCAGCGTAACAAAGAAATATCGACTGCACATTTCAATAAACCCCGCTTTTGCTTCAAAAGAAATGTTTACGGGATAGTCCAACACAGCTTTTCCAGTTTTCTAAGATGAAGGTGGAAATTTCCCGAGCACGAGATTGGGCTTGTACACAAGGCTCCACCATCAATCAAATTCTATTGTTGTCACTATCACGTGACTGGAACTACAATACGTTTTTCGGAAAAAAGAAGTAAAATACGTCATCGACGGAAGAATTCTCGACACAAGTAATGATGACAAATGCGTGCGCAGGTATGACTCTGCAAATGATGGATAAGTAATTGGGTTATCACGTGGCATACGTAATGAAAACCTTTAATATACACATGTCATTTCACACGTGAACATTTCCTATTTTCCACTCGCATTAAAAATTACAGCTATCGATTTGTTTGGCAAAGAAGTTAAATGAAAAACACAATCGTTATTGGGTTAAGAGCATCATTTCTTCACTGGAAGACTCGACGATAAGAAAGAAAATGCATGTTAACGAGTTAAAGAAACTGCTACATCAGTGATTGAGTCTGTGCAAGAAGCAAAAAACTGCAATAATCGTAGAAACAAAATGGCGTCGTCAGTCGTGAGAAGTACATTCCGTTCTATTTTTGGCAGACGTCTGAAATTGCAACGATGTTCGCTTTAGAGTGAAGTTTCTTTCAACTTCGATATCGCTTATAGGTGAAGTTTGTGTCAAAAAAAGTACATTGGAAAAATAAGAAACAAGAAGTGGACCTGTTATAATGATGGATACAAAAGAAAAGAAACTAAAAAAGAAAAGTAATATTGTGTGGATAACAAAAAAGAAGAAGAAGAGAAAAAATATATATATATATAAAGACGTTGACGGGAAATGAAACAGAAGCAGACAGACAGAAAAATAGAAAGAAAGACAGACGATGGACCTTTTGTCTCCGAATGCATTTCCTTAATGAACTAGTGTCTGTCGCGGAAAATGCGGACAGCACAAGTCGTCACTCGGTATGACTGATCGCACATTCCTCGCACTTATCCCCAGATTGAGTGTTTACATCTCTCTATTGATTCCATCGTTTATCTGATTGCTGACTGCAACTGAATTATCAGAGACTGTACTCTATCGACCTCTGGCGCAAAGATGGCTCGTTATCTGTCACATTCCGCAACAGAATGAACTGTTCCGTCCCGTACACGGTACTAGAC